ATGAGTTTTCGATGTCGTTATGTAAGTACAAAAAACAGATTCTACTTCTACTCAGTGCTCAAAGCGTATGAGATCACTACCATCTGTCCCACGTAAATACTTTCGTCATCCAATAAACTTTGATTTTTTTTGCATCTCCCCTGCTTTTTGGTTGATAAAAAGAAAAATATACGTAATTTACGCACAAAGGTTCAAAACTCAACTCTCTTGGGATCTAAAGATGTCTCCGAACACGTTGAATTGTTAAAGTTGTTCACAAGTTCACTTTTACTTAAAAAAACTACTCTGGCTCCCTAACTTGTTGCAGGTATATGCGCGAAAAGGAATGAAACAGACAATGAATGAAGAATTTTTAGAGGTGTTACGGCATGATCAATGTTTGAAAAACACTTTTTTTCATGAACTGTTGTTTTAAATCAAGAAAATTTCCTTGTTTCTTTCGACTACCATGGTATATCAAACTCTTTTGTTGTCCTGTCTCTGGAGTATCGAACTATGGCTGTAGTGGATTGCTTACTGAACGCAGCACCAGTACACATCCAGCAGTAAGATATTCATCGGCAGTATAATAAAATCACCTATGATTTTGGACTACGTCAGTAGTGCAGTACGTAGCACAGGCCGAGGAGCACTTTATCCGACTATCATCAGACTTTTGAAATCCATCTTTACATATTTCAATCTTTTCGTACATGCAGCCGCCTGACGGCGGAGTGCGTCTCTCAGCAGCCTCTTAGGCACTACACCTCGGTATCACGGCAATGATTTAAGAGCTTTTGATAAGAAATATTCTTTCCAAATATTGTTCAAATGCTTTAGTATTGGTGCCCGGCGAATACTTTCAGCAGCCCGCCGTGGCAAAATCGCTGCATTGAAGTATGAAGTTTATTTAGAACTCATATGATTTTCCTGAAGAAATTTTTTGGAGTCTATGAATTGCACCTTCATGTTTTGTAATTAGATATAGGAGTTTAATAGTTTGCTTGAACTTTTGTTCATGAAATTGGTTTATATTAAGCTCTCCACATTTAAGAGAGTCTCAGATCACACTCCAGTGTAACGGTAATCAAGTAAGATTGAGGTGTTTTTAGAGCCTACAATTATTCCTGATTTTTTACTCTGTGCAACAGGTGGAATCACGACAGGATTAGCAGCATCCCGAAATACTTCTCGAATGGGAGTATCCAGATTTCTAGGCATAAGAGGTAAGTCAAAGAAGCTCTGTGCTTGCTTAAATTCAAGGCATCCCGTTGCCGTATGTTTTTGCGTACAGAAAACATTAACACCTTCATATACCGATGCATGCGCAAAAAGGTTAACAAGTATATACATCATTGAAGATTGAATATGGAGAAGTGCACATAACACGGAATCTGCAGGGGATATAAAGTAATAAAATCTCATTATTCCAATACGCTAATACTATCGTAATTATATGATTCACCAATACCTCTATTTGCGATAATGAACAACAAGCGAGAGCGAAATTACGTTTTAATACTCGAGAATAAAAGTCTTCTTGGAATTCGCAAACCCGGACATAGCTAATCCACAATTCCATTTCTTGGTGAAATTCGAGCTGATTGGCGTTTGCTTCGTTTTTCTCCAAGAAAGGAGAGGTCTCAAACTGTTTGAAAAGAATTTAGGCTTTGATAAAAGACCTATACCCGAGTTTCTTATTGAAGGATATTGTTCCCGCTTGATCCAAGCATTAAAAAGAGGAATAGCCTGGCATCCTTTACTTCCTCAAAGACGACGGACGAAGCAGACTGCGGTGGCAAAAGAAGCTAAAAGAACTCCTGTTCCTCCCACGAGAGTGCTTTCACCTCGTCAAGAATTGAGAGCGCCACCTGTGAACCAGGAGCACATTCCAACCATGGAGAAGGTTTCTGAATCAATTACACACGTGATGGAAGTTTCGGCTCACGAGCAAGGAACAATGAACCCGGCTGAAAACTATCACGGGTAAGATTTGCTGCTGATTCGCTCTTCTCTCTTATAGGCTTACAATACTTCGGTAGAGAAATATTGGAAGGAAGTAACCGCCATGATGCAAGTAATTTGCCTCCATAGCCTGATGCTCGTGACGAAGTGACGCTGACGAGGCGCTAGCGAGCATAAACAGCTGAGGAAAGTAGACAGAACGACGGAAAAAGGTGACCCACACTATGACCATTTCCAAGACGATACACACTCTCGGCCTAACGTTCGTTGCAGCGAGGAAATACTGTCGACGAATGTCAAAGTATACTTCTGAAAGGCCATCTCAATACATGCTGTTATGATATTGTTTGATTTGTTGTATAGGATAAGGATATTCTAATACTAGTGAAGTCTATTAATGTCTGCGTAACAAACATAAATATCTGTACATATATGTGAAGTCTATCAATGTCTTCGTAACAAACATAAATTTCTGTACATATATCTGTCACTGTTGGTCACCCCTTCCCCCTCCTCTTCCTCCCCCCTCCATCCCTTTCAAAATATTTTACTATTACATAAAGTACACTTCAAACAAACCCTATACTGTAATTACTCCGAGCACGAGTCTAAAACGAGTTTCACCT